ATTTGACGTCTGTGCCCAGTCGGTCATTGTAATGTATAAATATTGCATAGATTATAAGGTGTTATAAATGCACTTATAACGCATTATGAAAAGGGTATTCATAGGAAGTGTTACCCGCAGTTCTTGCGGAAGGAACTGTACCCCACGTCCCCACCTACTGGTGACATTGTACAAAATACCACACCTTTAGACATGGTGTAGCTATGTTGATATTTGTGTTCACCATTTCATTAGAATGTTTATCACATTGAGAGTATCTGTCAGGTCAAATGACTTACGCAAATTATATACCCACATACTTTGAGACCTTATAACCTTAGTGTCAGAAAAGGTTCATTTTCTTCATATTTTGATGATGGTTATTTTACTTACTTGTAATATATTTGATCTGTCATGTCTGTGGGTTGGTCCCATACATGTATGAATGGCTTTCACCTGATGCTTGTATGGTTAGTTACCTGTATTTTGTTTTATTTCCTTGTTACATTTTCATTACCAAAACATTAAGAAAACCTTCTCTTTCCATGACAGACTGACCAGGTGAATCCAGGTGAAAGCTATGATCTCTTATTAATGTCACTTGTTAAATCCACTTCAATCAGTTTAGATGAAGGGGAGGATACAGGTTCAAAAATGAATTTTAAGACTTGAGACATGGATTGTGTATGTGTGCCATTCAGAGGGTGAATGGGCAAGACAAAATATTTAAGTACCTTTGAACGGGATATGGTAGTATTTGCCAGGCTCACTGGTTTGAGTGTGTCAAGAACTGCAATGCTGCCGGATTTTTCATGCTAAACAATTTCCCGTGTGTATCAAGTATGGTCCACCACCCAAAGGACATCCAGCCAACTTGACACAACTCTGGAAAGCATTGGAGTCGACATGGAGCAGCATCCCTGTGGAAAGCTTTCGACACCTTGTAGAGTCCATCCCTCGATGAATTGAGGCTATTCTGAGGGCAAAAGCGGGTGCAACTCAATATTAGGAAGGTGTTCCTAATGTTTGTACACTCAGTGTATAGTACTATGAATTTTGATTGTTGGATTGATATGATCTGCTCATACATTGCCAATACAAGTGAGTGAGTTACTTAAGTCTATTGATTAATGAACAACTCAGATCTGATGTTTACAATTGTCCCTCATACTCTCTTGTATTATTTGTAACAAACTTTCTGCATGTATTTGTATGAAGGAACCTCCAAATTATTGTCATTGTCATATATACTTTTTAGCCTGCAAATTTAGGAAGGCTATTCTGCAGAGAGTTTTGTGTTTGGGCACACCTTGTTTTATTTAATACATTAACATTTTAGTCATTTAGCAGATGCTCTTATCCAGAGCGACTTACAGGAGCAGATTTTTCACCTAGTCGGCTCAGGGATTCGAACCAGCAACTTTTCGGTTACTGGTCCAATGCTTCTTAATATTATAATATGTGTTTAATTCCTTTTATCATTAAAACATTCCTTTCCAGCATATGGTCGTGTTTTCTTTAAATTAGACACTCTGGAGGAGAGGGAAAGATCAAACTCTGATTTATTTTGTCTTCTGTCACTCTTGTTTTCAGTTGTTCAAGTTTATGCAGACACACACACATGCAGACACTCACACATACACACGCACACAAATACGGGCTCATGATCTTTCAGGGAAAATGTGTATGATTTGTATGATGTCTCTAACTTAACAGTAATGTATTCTCTGAACTGCCTAATAGTTCTATTGTCATTAACCTTAAGGTAACATTTGATATAGATGTTTTGTCTATACATCCCACTCATATGGCAAGGATGTCCTCTGGTGTTAGACTTCTTACATTACAGTACATAAGAGACAGTGGCTGGGGGTCGTTCTAATACCACACTGGTTGGAGTTCAAGCAGTTCATTTGGCTGGTGTTGATTGTGGATGTGTAAAGTCAACCATCAACATCTGAATGATATGACACAACTTCTAACCTAGTCATTTCAAACCTTTTGCATGTTTCCATTGCCAACTGAACAGAATGCATGTTCCTTGCTGTTAAACAGTGTCCATCTAGCTCCCCATCTTTATAAATTACAACTTTGAAGAATAAAAGGTCCAAAAAAAGACACAGATTGTTTATTATGTGCATCACATTGTTCATACTGTGTGTAATTAACTCCTCCTCTGCTTATATAAACAACCAGGAAATGCCTTTACTTCCTTTGTAATTTGACTGAGCGTGGAGGTAGAGGTGTCATCTCAGAACTGAAAATGTTTTTGTTTCAAGTGGCTTTTTTGGTTGCTGTTTTGCAAGTCTATCCAACCTACGCTGTCGGGGATCAAGGTAAAATACCAAATTATTGTAGAATTCATTTAAAAGTTTCACAAATTCTCCCTCAAGACGGAGACTTCTGCTAACTAAACTGCGTCATGGCTGGGCCCTCAGAGAAAAAATACCCAGTTGTCATACTTGAGTAAAAGTAAAGATACATTAATAGAAAATGAGTCAAAGTATTCGGTTTTAAATATACTTAAGCATCAAAAGTAAATGTAATTGCTCAAATATACTTAAGTATCAAAAGTAAAAGTATAAATCATTTCAAATTCCTTATTTTTTACGGATAGCCAGGGGCATGCTCCAACACTCAGATATCATTTACAAATGAAACATGTTTTTAGTGAGTCGGCCAGATCAGAGGCAGTAGGGGGACCAGGGATGTTCTCTTGATAAGTGTGTGGTGAATTAGACCATTTTCCTGTCCTGCTAAGCATTCAAAAAAAAGTACTTTTGGGTGTCAGGGAAAATGTATGGAATAAACGTACATAATTTTCATTAGGAATGTAGTGGAGTAAAAGTATAAATTGTGAATAGTAAAGTAAAGTACAGATACCCTAGAAAAAGACTTAAGTAGTACTATCAATAATTTTTACTTAAGTACTTTACACCACTGGTCCTGTATGAGTGCTAGTCCTCTTCTTACACAATCTTTATCTATTGTTCTTGTTCAATGTATATAGATCTCAAACCTAGTCCCTCAATATATTTTATTTTGTTTCTGTCTAAAGGAATTTGAAAGTGGCTTTAGTAATAATGCACAGAAAGTTGTCCTAAATAAAAAGTTCCTTGACATCCGTAGCATGTACTTTGGTGGAAATTTCCTGTGGAAAATTGAAGAGCAGGGATGGTGGATACGTGTATCTATACAACATTACAGGGGTATTAGACATTGCGGTGTTCAACAATAATGGGGTAAGTTGAAATCTGTGTTTTAGTTAAGCTATACAGGAAGTAACAACTGCAGGAGAGCAGTGGATGCAATCCACACAGAATTACTTGAATAAAATAATACAACTACATACAGTGCATTCGGAAAGTATTCAGACCCCTTGACTTTTTCCACATTTTGATACGTTACAGCCTTATTCTAAAATGAATCAAATAGTTTTTTCCCCTTATCAATTTACACACAATACCCCATAATGACAAAGGTTTTTAGACATTTTTGCAAATGTATTACAAGTAAAAAACAGAAATATGACATTTACATAAGTATTCAGACCTTTGTTGAAGCACCTTGGTCAGCGATTACAGCCTCAAGTCTTCTTGGGTATGACGCAACAAGCTTGGCACACCTGTATTTGGGGAGTTTCTCCAATTTTTCTCTGCAGATCCTTTCAAGATCTGTCAGGTTGGATGGGGAGCATTGCTCCACAGCTATTTTCAGGTCTCTCCAGAGATGTTTGATCGGGTTCAAGTCCGGCCTCTGGCTGGGCCACTCAAGGACATTCAGAGACATGTCCCGAAGCCCCTCCTGCGTTGTCTTGGCTGTGTACCTAGGGTCGTTGTCCTTTTGGAAGGTGAACCTTCGCCCCAGTCTGAGGTCCTGAGCGCTCTGGAGCAGGTTTTCATCAATGATTTCTCTGTACTTTGCTCCGTTCATCTTTCCCTCGATCCTGACTAGTCTCCCTGTCCCTGCAATTGAAATACATCCCCACAGCATGATGCTGCCACCACCGTGCTTCACCATAGGGATAGTGCCAGGTTTCCTCCAGACGTGACACTTGGCATTCAGGCCAAAGAGTTCAATCTTGGTTTCATCAGACCAGAGAATCTTGTTTCTCATGGTCTGAGAGTCCTTGAGGTGCCTTTTGGCAAACTCCAAGCGGGCTGGCATGTGCCTTTTACTGAGGAGTGGCTTCCATCTGGCCACTCTACTATAAAGACCTGATTGGTGGAGTTCTGCATCCAGATGGTTGTCCTTCTGGAAGGTTTTCCTATCACCACAGAGGAACTCTAGAGCACTGTCAGAGTGACCATCGGGTTGTTGGTCACCTCCCAGACCAAGGCCCTTCTCCCCCGATTGCTCAGTTTGGCTGGGCGGCCAGCTCTAGGAAGAGTCTTGGTGGTTCCAAACTTCTTCCATTTAAGAATGATGGAGGCCACTGTGTTCTTGGGGACCTTCAATGCTGCAGAAATGTTTTGGTACCCTTCCCCAGATCTGTGTCTCGACACAATCCTGTCTCGGAGCTCTACGGACAATTCCTTCGACCTCATGGCTTGGATTTTGCTCTGACATGCACTGTCAACTGTGGGACCTTATATAGACAGGTGTGTGCCTTTCCAAATCATGTCCAATCAATTGAATTTACCACAGGTGGACTCCAATCAACTTATAGAAACATCTCAAGTATGATAAATGGAAACAGGATGCATCTGAGCTCAATTTCGAGTCTCATCGCAAATGGTCTGAATACTTATGAAAATAAGGTATTATAAATTTTTTTTAAATACATTTGCAAACATTTCTAAAAACCTGTTTTCAATTTGTCATCATGGGGTATTCTGTATAGATTGATGAGGATTTTTGTTTATTTAATCCATTTTAGAATAATGCTGTAACGTAACAAAATGTGGAAAAAGTAAAGGGGTCTGAATACTTTCCGAATGCACTGGATGTTCCCTATTGATCATTTGACTTGCCTTTTTCCTAAACAGACTGCCATTGCCAACAGTGGAGGGGACAAGCCAATGGAAGTTGTTAAGAATGAGGTGGTAACGATGAACAACAGTGCCCTCACCCTCTATAAATGTCAAAATCTGAAAATGAACTTCATTTACATTGATTCTACACAGGTGAGCCCTGTAATTTCACATTATTTAGAGGTTGATTATAACAAACTTACACATTTAATTGAATCCCGTATTATTAGGATGCAACTGATGAAACAATATCCCTCCCCATTCCCTCTTAGCAGAAGGCTGGAACTGAGTCTAATGGTAAAGAACCCCCCGTTAAGGAGAGCTGTTCCCATTACATTGTCAAAGGTAGATAGTTGACATTCCTCTTTTCCATCAATTTCAAGTATCTTTCAAGAGCATATAGAGAAAATCACTAAATCATATGTATTATTTTGAATACTGTACATCTTTTAACCTCTCTGTCTGGCCTTCAACCATCATCCCAGGTGAGTACTGAGATGGCTAATGTCCACGATGGACAAGTGCCTTGAGAGAACAATGTCAATCCCTGGAGAATGTTTTTGTTATATTTTATTTTCTGGATGCCTGCCTGGAAATTAAACTAAGGGAAGGACTGCATAACACGTTATTCTGTGTTATTCAGTATTTTGATTGATTATGTCATGTAAATGACTTTATTCTCTCTAATCATCATTATAGATGGAGACAATCCTGATACAAACCGTGGTGACACTGGTTTGAACTGGATAATCATTGGTGAGTGTTTATGCAAATCTATCACCACAGCTTCCTCTGTATGAGCAAATTACAAGTAAATCTGACCACAAAATGATGCTACAAAGATCAACTACTGTTAGAAAGCTATTTTAAAACCTTTTCATGTTTGTGTAAATATGATGTCAACATCTGATGACTACGTTTTGTTTTTCAGTTGTCGTGGTGGTCATTGCTGGTCTGCTCTTAGTGCTTTTATGTGTGCATAAACCTTGGAGAGACAAACAGCGGTGAGTACCCTATATAACTGCTTTTGTGTTTGTGAAGGGAGCTCTTTAAGTCAATTAGAATTGTTGCAGGATGAGAACAGCCTGGAACTTGCAGGCCACTTACAGACTATAGACTTGTCTGCCATTTTGTCAAGTTACTGTTGTTTATCAAACATTATCCTTCATTTCTTATTAATGTAATAATCTCATCTTTAGCAACCAAGGCCACAGAGACGTGGAAGAGGGTCAGGGCAATCCAGAACCAATCTCCATTCCTCTGATGCAGAATGAGCAACGTGATGCCAGGTAAACCTTTCCACATCACTTTAATGATCTTTAATTAACCACTGAATGATAGCGTCACTGTCTTCAGATGTTGCTTTGGGTCATATTAGTTTATTTCTCTATGGAACAGGGCTCTCCAACCCTGTTCCTGGAGAGCTACTGTCCTGTAGGTTTTCACTCCAACCCTAATCTAGCACACCTGATTCTAATAATTAGCTCAGGGATGGGCAACTGGCGGCCCGTGGATCCCGCTTTTAGATTGGTAAATTAATCTAACCAGCTACCTAAACTTGTAGTAATCATCGTCAAATTGCTGACTGGGTGGGCCTCATTGATTTTGTAAGTTACTCTCACATAGATATCATATTGACATGCAAACATTTTGGCAATCTCATTTCTCCCTTCAGAATTGATCCCATGGATCATGTTAGTCTCTGCCTCTATGGAGGACAGTGTTGTTTGTGGTGGAACATAAGTTTTAACCCTGATGATCACCCTGGTATTGCTCCCACAGGGTTAACGGCCAGACTGATGACGCACAGCTTCTGGGTCAACCTCAGAGCAATGGATGCGTGCCATATAGAAGGTGAGAATGTGTATTTCATTCCAAACACTTTTGTCTGTATGTAACTCCTGAGTGGCGCAGTGGTCTAAGGCACTGCATCGCAGTGCTAACTGTGCCACTAGAGATCCTGGTTCGAATCCAGGCTCTGTCGCAGCCGGCCGCGACCGGGAGACTCATGGGCAGCGCACAATTGGCCCAGCGTTGTCCAGGGTAGGGGAGGGAATGGCCGGCAGGGATGTAGCTCAGTTGATAGAGCATGGCGTTTGCAACGCCAGGGTTGTGGGTTCGATTCCCACGGGGGGCCAGTATAAAAAAATATAAATAAAAAAATATGTATTCACTAACTGTAAGTCGCTCTGGATAAGAGCGTCTGCTAAATGACTAAAATGTAAATGTAAAGTTGCATGTGATGGTAGAGGAGGTTCAATAACTGTTTGAGGTCATGTTTCCTGATCCAGTCTGTATCTTACTCCACAGGGAATCACACCTGACCGATGGGGCTCCAGGTCAGGGTGCTGGTGAGACTTCACCCCTCTTCTGCAGGTGAGTCAGTCCTCTGTAATTTAGGCCATGAACATGTAGACCATGTGTACCCCCCTAAAACAGATCCTTAAATTCTTATTCATGTAATAATCACCCTTAGAAGCCCAGTAGAGGAAGGTGTGCTAGAAGGGGAGGACAGGAAGCCCACAGACAGTGGGGGAACATACCCTGAATCCTGTCAGAAGACACATGCTGAACCCCCTGACATCAGGTAAACTTCACTACATATTGATACATCCTCACCAACCCCATCGTCACTTGGTTCATGTTAGCCTCCGTCTCTATAGGGGACAGTATTATGGTGGATCGTGAATGTTGATGTCTTATTTCTTCAACAGGGTTAACGACAAGACCAAGGAACAGACTCCTGATGCACAGAGTCCAGGACCTCCTCAGATGAATGGACGACCTCCCATGTCTAACAGAGTTGCAAAGGAGACCACTGGTCTATTGGACAAACAGGCCTTGGACAAGGACCAAGTCAGCAAACCTGAGTTAATAGTAAGTACTGTTTATGCCAACTGGTGAATTGTTTGGCTTAGTATCTAAAATGACAGGGCTGGTTGTCTTTTTGCTCCAGCATATTTGTAACTCTTGTGTTTTTCCTAAGGACAAAGGACCTAATGACATGGAGTCAAGAACAAGCGGTGGACGTTTGTATAACAAAAGAGAACCTAATAAGATATGATAAGATACAGTAATATATGATATACAGTGCATATTATAAGATACACATATGTGACTAGCTTCATCATAATCAGTCATATCAACCCCAAGACACATTCTGAGCAGTGTGTTTTAATGAACAGTGATTTTCAGAAACCTCAACAGTTTATTAAGTTAATTCTCTATGCGACTGCTGTAATCTGGATAGGTTAGGAAACATGTTCTAGTGAAATCAGTTGAAATTCAAAAACAGCCCAAGACTTTTAGATAACTAAAATGACAAAATTACTATTATCTAAATTATTATTATCTACATTTTGTATTACTATTGAAAATGACTGCGACTTATGACTGATTATGATACAGCATGTCACATATTAGCTATACAACATTATAATGATATGAAAGTATGGTAAGATCATACTTACACTAGTATTGTATAATATACATACAAGCTAATATATATCACATTCACATGAGAAGATGGATAAAACGTAAACCTCTTTACTATAGACATTTCCAAGGTCATGAGGTCTCAATGTCTTGTGGACATGTCAAATACAGCTAAACATTGACCCAGCGTTATTTACACAGTATATACAAAAGTATGTGGACACCGCTTCAAATGAGTGGATTTGGCTATTTCAGCCACACCGTGTCTGACAGATGTATAAAATCGAGCACACAGCCATGCAATCTCCATAGACAAACATTGGCAGTAGAATGGCCTTACTAAAGAGCTCAGTGACATTCAATGTGGCACCATCATAGGATGCCACCTTTCCAACAAGTCAGTTCATCAAATTTCTGCCCTGCTAGAGCTGCCCCTGTCAACTGTAAGTGCTGTTATTGTGGAGCAACAACGGCTCAGCCCCAAAGTGGTAGGCCAGCCAAGCTCACAGAATGGGACCGCTGTGTGCTGAAGCACGTAACGCGTAAAAATCGTCTGTCCTCGGTTGCAACACTCACTACCGAGTTCCAAACTGCCTCTGCAAGCATCGTCAGCACAATAACTGTTCATCAGGGCTTCATTAAATTGGGTTTCCATGGCCGAGCAGCCGCACACAAGCCTAAAATCACCATGCACAATTCCAAGCGTTGGCTGGAGTGGTGTAAAGCTTGCCGCCATTGCACTACGAAGCAGTGGAAACGTGTTCTCGAGAGTGATGAATACCGCTTCACCATCTGGCAGTCCATCGGACAATTCTGGGGTTGGTAAATGCCAGGAGAATGCTACCTGCCCCAATGCATAATGCCAACTGTAAAGATGGAATAATGGTCTGGACCTGGTTTTCATGGTTCAGGCTAGGACCCTTAGTTCCAGTGAAGGGAAATCTTAACGCTACAGCATACAATGACATTCTAGATGATTTGGTGCTTCCAACTTTGTGGCAACAGTTTGGGGATGTCCCTTTCCTGTTTCAGCATGACAATGCCCCCATGCACAAAGTGAGGTCCATACAGAAATTATTTGTCGAGATCGGTATGGAAGAACTTGACTGGCCTGCACAGAGCCCTGACCTCAACCCCATCGAAAACCTTTGGGATGAATTGGAACGCTGACTGCGAGCCAGGCCTAATCTCCCAACATCAGTGCCCGACCTCACTAATGCTCTAGTTGCTGAATGGAAGCAAGTCCCCGCAGCAGTGTTCCAACATCTAGTGGAAAGCCTTCCCAGAAGAGTGGAGGCAGTTATATCAGCAAAGGAGGGACCAACTCCATATTAATGCCCATGATTTTGGAATGAGATGTTTGACGAGCAGGTGTCCACATACTTTTGGTAATGTAGTTTAGAAGAGACGTCATTCTCACAGTGCCCAGTCTAAGAAGCTCTATTTTACTGAAGCAATTAATAATTATTTCTGAATTGAGAGCTAGCATGTCAGTGTTAAAATAACTTGCATGTCCCAACTTCAGCAACATTTTTCCTTTAGAGACTAGAAGATACTACAACAGACTTTATTTAAACCCCCGTTTTCATAGGAAAGCATGATTGACCAGTTAAAACAGTTAACACTTCATATGGATGTTCTCTTTATAATGCATTAAAGGTGCGTTAATAACACCTTCTATGCATAATGTATCATAATGCACAACATAGGTGCTAATAACTACTCATGAACATCTATAACTGCATAGAGCATTATCACCAGGATGTGTAATGCCTTATGAAGCAAAGTATTACTATGCTAGATGCCATATTTGAAAAGCTCATTAGGAGCATTTTATTATACATTCTGTGCTCATTAAGTGGTAGGCTATATTCTAATTTCACTGCACACCCTCTTACACCTATGTACTTTGTCTTGCAGGCATAAAGGGATAATTCACCCATATTGCAAAATTACAAAATTACATACCCTGTAAGCAGTCTATGGACAAGGTAAGAAAGCAATCAATGCTTTGGTTTTGTTTACTCTACTTGGTCACAGAAATGCTAACGTTGTAGCATTTGTGGCACAAATCCAAGTCAATAATCCTGTTATAAGCATTTTTCGCAAATCATCATGAAGTGTCTACACTTGATTGTGTAGCTCAATTAAGTTATTTTAAGATGATTTGGACATAAAGCACATAAAAAATGCTTTAAAGGGGATACTGCCTTAACATTACTTGACATTGGATTCGATCTACAAAGTTAGCGTTTGAAGACAGTGGCCAGGTAAACAAAACCATAGCATGGATTGCTCTCTGAGCTTCTCCATAGACTGTTTACAGGGTAAGGAAACCAAATGTCATTTGTCATTTAGGTGAACTGTACCCTTTAACGGGAGTGTGGAACTCCTACGTGAAGTTGTTACAGTATACCCCTCTGACACATTTCCTAAAGAGCATTTCATGTAGGTCTTATCACTTAGCTTCATAATCATAAGGCGTTATGCTGCCTGGAATATATAGACATTTGTTAGCAGCCATTAGTGCCTATGTAATGTATTATAATCTATAATGCATAGATGATAAGGTATTTATAAAGGCACTTGTAACGCATTATGAAAAGGGTATTCATAGGAAGTGTTACCCGCAGTTCTTGAGGAAGGAACTGTACCCCATGTCCCCACCTACTGGTGACATTGTGCAAGATACCACACCTTTAGACATGGTGTAGCTATGTTGATATTTGTGTTCACCGTTTCATTAGAATGTTTATCACATTGAGAGTATCTGTCAGGTCAAATGACTTAGGTGAATTACATACCCACATACTTTGAGACCTTATAACCTTAGTGTCAGAAAAGGTTCATTTTCTTCATATTTTGATGATGGTTATTTTACTTACTTGTAATGTATTTGATATGTCATGTCTGTGGGTTGGTCCCATACATGTATGAATGTCTTTCGTCTGATGCTTTTATGGTTAGTTACCTTATACATGTATTTAGTTTGATTTTCTTATTACATTTTCATTACCAATTTATAGTACTATGCATTTTGACTGTTGGATTGACAGTCTGCTCATACATTGCTTATAATCAACCAATACAAGTGAGTGAGTGAAGACTATTGTTTAATGAACGACTCAGGTCTGATGTATACAATTGTCCCTCATAATCTCTTGTATTATTTGTAACAAACCTTCTGCATGTATTCGTTTGAACCTCCACATTATTGTCATTGTCATATATACTTTTAAGCCTGCAAATTTAGGAAGGCTATTCTGCAGAGTTTAATTTTTTATATAATAGAAATGTAGAAGCTAAGATTGCTTCTTATTATTATAATATGCATTTCATTCCCTTTTATCATTAAAACATTCCTTTCCAGCATGTGGTTGTGTTTTCTTTAAATGAGACACTCTGTAATGGAGGGAAAGATCAAACTGATTATTTATTTTGTATTCTGTCACTCTTGTTTTCAGTTTTACAAGTTTATGCAGACACACACACGTGCCACACTAATGCTCCTGGGTTCTACAGTAGCTACTGTAGACCCTCATATAAGTGATCATGTACATAGACTGTATGGAGTCTAAAGTACTGTCTGTCTGATGCGTTCACCAGTAACACACAGGAGACAATGATGGTATGGCACAGTATGGTACAATATGGTATGGATGATGACTTTACTGATGTTTTCCTATTTCTTCCCACTCTGAAATGTACCACGTGATTGTAATAATGATATTCTCTTCACACCCTCCACTCACTGAAGGTCAGATGTCACAGTTAACCTAGAGTGTTCATCATCTTTATAAACATGTTAAAAACGCTAACTGCTTGTGATCACTTTACCCATTGAATCATTCAAAGAGTTGTCTACCATGAGCTAAAGTTATCCACCATGAAGTAAAGCTATCCACCATGAGGTAAGATTCAACAAAAGTACAGTACAACAAGAGCCCCTTCTATTGGTCAGAAGTGTTGTGTGCAGGACCCTGAGTTTATACTGACCTTGTGACCTTCTAGACAGGTAGGAGGAGACAGGTAATATGGACTTAGAAATGAGTTCTGCACCTTAGACACAGATTGCAGTGCACCACCTACAGTGCACTAAAGCATAACACTATTATCAGACTGCCCCACCAGTAGGAATCAGACAAGTTGTCATCCTACTGGAGGCTTTACATGGTGAAAGGAAAATTGATTGAAAATATTGTGACTTTTTCATTTGAATGCCTTAATTAGTTTAATGTTCACAAAACGTTACAATATTTCTCCAACAAACCAGATGGGTTTATTGTTGCTCCTCCTTGTGATGTAACTTCTGTTTATGACTCAACAAGAGAAATGCTGTCTTTCCCGCCTTCATTTGCTTTGCACCGACAGACTGGAACTCAGCACGCACCACGCAGTTGTTTGTAATAAGGGGTCAAAATGTCATTTTCTTCTCTATTTGGTTTATTATTGACAATCCTCCTGTTAATTCAAGGTAAGAACATTGTCTTGACTTTGTATTTTTCTGGGTGCGCTGACTTTTCATATGTTTTAGTCTCCCCAATGTGTGGGAGCCACCCTGAATTCCTGGCACGTATTTAGTGTAGTTGGTTTAGCTTTTTGGATGTCTTGAGGGTTTGCTTATCTCTTTGCTATTTGCCGTTCAATTTGAAAAAGTTACATATCTCAGGAAAGAAAGATTGCAAAATACAAATTGTCCCACAACCAGTTTCTCTTCAAAATAGCGTTGGCAGCAAAGCATTTTTGGGGGCGTTGGCTACAGTACCAGCACTGTTACAGTATATTTTTGGTTGTGAGATGTCTCTCCTGCACTCCTACAAACTACAGTGGGGAGAACAAGTATTTGATACACTGCCGATTTTGCAGGTTTTCCTACTTACAAAGCATGTAGAGGTCTGTAATTTTTTATCATAGTTACACTTCAACTGTGAGAGACGGAATCTAAAACAAAAATCCAGAAAATCACATTGTATGATTTTTAAGAAATTAATTTGCATTTTATTGCATGACATAAGTATTTGATCACCTACCAACCAGTAAGAATTCCGGCTCTCACAGACCTGTTTGTTTTTCTTTAAGAAGCCCTCCTGTTCTCCACTCATTACCTGTATTAACTACACCTGTTTGAACTCGTTACCTGTATAAAAGACACCTGTCCACACACTCAATCAAACAGACTCCAACCTCTCCACAATGGCCAAGACCAGAGAGCTGTGTAAGGACATCAGGGATAAAATTGTAGACCTGCACAAGGCTGGGATGGGCTACAGGACAATAGGCAAGCAGCTTGGTGAGAAGGCAACAACTGTTGGCGCAATTATTAGAAAATGGAAGAAGTTCAAGATGACGGTCAAACACCCTCAGTCTGGGGCTCCATGCAAGATCTCACCTCGTGGGGCATCAATGATCATGAGGAAGGTGAGGGATCAGCCCAGAACTACATGGCAGGACCTGGTCAATGACCTGAAGAGCGCTGGGACCATGTCTCAAAGAAAACCATTAGTAACACACTATGCCGTCATGGATTACAATCCTGCAGCGCACGCAAGGTCCCCCTGCTCAAGCCAGCGCATGTCCAGGCCCGTCTGAAGTTTGCCAATGACCATCTGGATGATCCAGAGGAGGAATGGGAGAAGGTCATGTGGTCTGATGAGACAAAAATATAGCTTTTTGGTCTAAACTCCACTCGCCGTGTTTGGAGGAAGAAGAAGGATGAGTACAACCCCAAGAACACCATCCCAACTGTGAAGCATGGAGGTGGAAACATCATTCTTTGGGGATGCTTTTCTGCAAAGGGGACAGGACGACTGCACCGTATTGAGGGGAGGATGGATGGGGCCATGTATCGCAAGATTTAGGCCAACAACCTCCTTCCCTCAGTAAGAGCATTGAAGATGGGTCGTGGCTGGGTCTTCCAGCATGACAACGACCCGAAACACACAGCCAGGGCAACTAAGGAGTGGCTCCGTAAGAAGCATCTCAAGGTCCTGGAGTGGCCTAGCCAGTCTCCAGACCTGAACCCAATAGAAAATCTTTGGAGGGAGCTGAAAGTCCGTATTGCCCAGCGACAGCCCCGACACCTGAAGGATCTGGAGAAGGTCTGTATGGAGGAGTGGGCCAAAATCCCTGCTGCAGTGTGTGCAAACCTGGTCAAGACCTATAGGAAACGTATGATCTCTGTAATTGCAAACAAAGGTTTCTGTACCAAATATTAAGTTCTGCTTTTCTGATGTATCAAATACTTATGTCATGCAATAAAATGCAAATTAATTACTTAAAAATCATACAATGTGATTTTCTGGATTTATGTTTTAGATTCCGTCTCTCACAGTTGAAGTGTACCTATGATAAAAATTACAGACCTCTACATGCTTTGTAAGTAGGAAAACCTGCAAAATCGGCAGTGTATCAAATACTTGTTCTCCCCACTGTTTATCACTATATGTTAATGTTATCAGGGTCTGCAAACTTAAACTGTTTTTATTTAATCAAAACACATCTGGTTTGTGTCGTAAGTTTCAAATGTTCTATTTAACCTTTGTTTAACCAGGAAGTGGTCAGAGTATCTCTCCCAAGGGATACCTGGATAGAGGTACAAGGCTTTATATTAGTTAGACTGTGGAAGATAAGAGGACAGGGTTAACCTGTTAGCCTAGTATAATGTAGCTTAGCTTAATCATGAACACAGAAAGGTGTGGTGCAGCTGAACTAGCCACACAGACCCCCCATTCACCCCTCCCTCCCTCCCTCCCTCCCTCCCTCCCTCCCTCCCTCCCTCCCTCCCTCCCTCCCTCCCTCCCTCCCTCCCACTCCTCTCCACCAACCCCCATTATTCCAAATTCCTCCAAATTCCAGAAGTGAAACCTGTTACCCTCTGTATCCTCCCACCCCCAAACTTTGAAAAAGAAAGATGGATGGAGGGAGGAGAGGATATATGGCTACAAATAGTGATGCAAACATGATCATACGTTATCGTCGTTATAAAGCAGGCTGCTTCTTCTGGACATTTGTATCTCTTCAACAGCAGTAATTAAAGATATGTGCTCTAGATGGCTGTGGTAATTGTTTTTCAACACACAATATCTCTTCCTCCTTTTTTCTACAGGATGTTGGGGCGAAGAAGAAACAAAGAATGTTAGTTGTGCAAGCCTCCGATTTGGAAATACTTACAAATACTGTGTAGATGAGAAGGAGAAACCTAAATGTGTGGATTGGGACTCAGTGGATTCCAATAATGTAAGATATCTGTTTATTGTATCTCACAAGACTCTCGTGACTACAACTACAGATGATGTACGACTTGCAAACTGGGGATTCAATATGATTCACAGGCTTCACTATCAGACTACTGTAGAATCAGAAATATGACTGTCTTTCACACTTCAGTGTAGACAGTAGATACATTTTAATGACAAATGTATTCAAACATGTAGAAGATTGTTTTTGAGTGGTAGATGTCCAACTTTACTTATGTATTTTTTCTTCCACAGACTTCTATGCGGCTTGCGGAACTTTGCCAACACAAAAAGACTACAGAAGCACCCACTACTCCAGTATCACCCTCCCAGAGTGTGTGAACGTAAACCACATTGCCAGAAGTGATTTGACTGTGAGTATGGCTATTTATCACTGCCGTTTAGGCTATGTACAGTTACCTTGTAAAGTACAATACCAGATCAAACATTCCAGTTGCATGTTAACAATATGATTATAAAAAGTAAATATATTGATGTTATCATATTTCGGAATCAGGAGCATTGGACCCATTTCAATTTGTCCGGTGCATCAGGTGAGATGTGTATATTGCTTTTCAAGTTTGTTGTTTTGTTTCACATATTCATATATATATATATATACAGTGAGGGAAAAAAGTATTTGATCCCCTGCTGATTTGTACGTTTGCCCACGACAAAGAAATGGTCAGTCTATAATTTTAATGGTAGGTTTATTTGAACAGTGAGAGACAGAATAACAACAAAAAAATCCAGAAAAACGCATGTCAAAAATGTTATAAAATGATTTGCATTTTAATGGAGGGAAATAAGTATTTGACCCCCTCTCAATCAGAAAGATTTCTGGCTCCCAGGTGTCTTTTATACAGGTAACGAGCTGAGATTAGGAGCACACTCTTAAAGGGAGTGCTCCTAATCTCAGTTTGTTACCTGTATAAAAGACACCTGTCCACAGAAGCAATCAATCAATCAGATTCCAAACTCTCCACCATGGCCAAGACCAAAGAGCTCTCCAAGGATGTCAGGGACAAGATTGTAGACCTACACAAGGCTGGAATGGGCTACAAGACCATCGCCAAGCAGCTTGGTGAGAAGGTGACAACAATTGGTGCGATTATTTGCAAATGGAAGAAACACAAAAGAACTGTCAATCTCCCTCGGCCTGGGGCTCCATGCAAGATCTCACCTCGTGGAGTTGCAATGGTCATGAGAACGGTGAGGAATCAGCCCAGAACTACACGGGAGGATCTTGTCAATGATCTCAAGGCAGCTGGGACCATAGTCACCAAGAAAACAATTGGTAACACACTACGCCGTGAAGGACTGAAATCCTGCAGCGCCCGCAAGGTGCCCCTGCTCAAGAAAGCACATATACATGCCCGTCTGAAGTTTGCCAATGAACATCTGAATGATTCAGAGGAGAACTGGGTGAAAGTGTTGTGGTCAGATGATACCAAAATTGAGCTCTTTGGCAGTAACTCAACTCGCCGTGTTTGGAGGAGGAAGAATGCTGCCTATGACCCCAAGAACACCATCCCCACCGTCAAACATGGAGGTGGAAACATTATGCTAACAGGGAGGGGGGGGGTTCTGCTAAGGGGACAGGACAACTTCACCGCATCAAAGGGACGATGGACGGGGCCATGTACCGTCAAATCTTGGGTGAGAACCTCCTTCCCTCAGCCAGGGCATTGAAAATGGGTCGTGGATGGGTATTCCAGCATGACAATGAACCAAAACACACGGCCAAGGCAACAAAGGAGAGGCTCAAGAAGAAGCACATTAAGGTCCTGGAGTGGCCTAGCCAGTCTCCAGACCTTAATCCCATAGAAAATCTGTGGAGGGAGCTGATGGTTCGAGTTGCCAAACGTCAGCCTCGAAACCTTAATGACTTGGAGAAGATCTGCAAAGAGGAGTGGGACAAAATCCTTCCTGAGATGTGTGCAAACCTGGTGGCCAACTACAAGAAACGTCTGACCTCTGTGATTGCCAACAAGGGTTTTGCCACCAGTTACTGAGTCATGTTTTGCAGAGGGGTCAAATACTTATTTCCCTCATTAAAATGCTAATTAAATTATAACATTTTTGACATGCGTTTTTCTGGATTTTGTTGTTGTTATTCTGTCTCTCATTGTTCAAATAAACCTACCATTAAAATGATAGACTGATCATTTCTTTGTCAGTGGGCAAACTTACAAAATCAGCAGGGGATCAAATACTTTTTTTCCCTCACTGTATATATATATATATATATATATATATATTGTCTTGTTCTAGATGAGCCAAAGAAGCCTTTGGAGAAAGCGCCTGACAGTCAGAATAAAACTGCAGGTGAGTGTTCCTCTGTATTAACAGAGCAGAGCATATTGAAGGAGGGCTGTTGTTTCCAGTGGCTCTCTGTTGGGTAGTCATCAAAATGCTTCTCTGTTATGAATTTCATTAACTATGTTTATCCTGTTATTTTTAAGATAATGTAAAGCAGGATTTCGACCACAAAATCCCCAACCATGACACTCGCCCATGGCTCATCCCAGGTGAGTGAGTTCAGGTGATCATTGTGTGGTAAAGTAACACTCTCTTATTAGGCTTAAAAACATGAAATAGTTAAAAAACTATCATTGCCATTATCAATGGGCAAAACTATGTTCAATCATTTAAGTATTATTGCATCTCTGACAAGTGATCGTTGCAGTCAAATTCCACTTGACCGTTGAGTAGCCAACCTGTCAGGCATGACAATGAACTGCGGGAAAAGTGTCCTCCATTTGCAATTCAAGTGCATAGTCTTTTTTCCCCTGCCCCTGTTCTAACAGGGGCATGATAATGGCCCATTCTAAATCAAAACTAATTTCAAATATATATTATTTGGTACATGTAAAGACAAGATTAAATTGAGAATAGTCTGATGAGTGAGAATATTATCACTTGTGAATGATGCCCAGCGTGTGCTGGGCATCATTCACAAGTGACAGGCAAGAAACAGCGCATTATTTGTGACTTTTTCAAATCAGAGTCGCGTGCATCATGTAGCCTATAGCCCATAGGCCTGTATGTTTTGATAAGGTTTTATTTTCTGGATTTATTGACCGACGGCCTGTAAGGTCCGGAAAGATATGTACATGTAGTAGTATTCTAGTATTCAGCCCAACTAAAAAGCTTCAACTTCTGGAGAACACAGAATCCAGCAAATATCTATTTGAGGATCAACCATCCATCAATTCTTGAGTAAGAAGTACTTTCACTGTATAATGCTGAATATTCTACAAAGTTCAACAAATTACTTTACACATTTTCACAATACATCAAGATCAAATCAGAATGTCTGCTGCAGTTGTGACTATCTCCAGCGATGCAAAAGCTGATGTCAAGGAAAATGAGAACTGGAGCAAGGTTGTGGGACGAAATGCCTCCTCCTGACAAAGGAGGAGACCATGGCCAACACCATCAATGAGGAGGAGCTCTACCACAGTCTCATACATGAAATTAATCCAAACCACGTGCACTCTGGCATATATACAGTATCTTCTCAGTAATGAAGCAAGGGTGAAGCTTCTGATCAGAGGAATAACAGTCAGAGGAAAACATGTAGAGTTCAAAGAGAACAATCCTTTCAGTTTGAAGTCGGGCATGGCTGACCATAACTCAATTCAAGTTACAATTAAAGAACTACATGAATCAGCAGATGATAGAGTACAGTCCCACTGTAGAAGGGGTCAGGTGATGGTAGAGTACAGTCCCACTGTAGAGGGGGTCAGGTGATGGTAGAGTACAGTCCTACTACACTGGAAAACATAAGGTGCAGAGAGGAAACTTTCTCACACTATGTGCAGGACAACAATCCTGTTCCCATGAGTAGGGCAGACGTACCACATATCTCAGCTGAAATGACAGAAAGTGAGATTGAGGTTGAACAGGATAATTCCTCAGCTCCCAAGGACAAAGGTGGAGTGAATGAAACATTGGAGTTGGTACCTGGTAAGCCAGAGTCTACAACAATGACCTCTCAATCTAAGACAAATAAGAAGAATAGGAAAAATGCTACAAATGAAGCTAGGAAAGTTTCTACTAAGCCGAGTGACAATCGGAACCAAATAAAAAAATAGAAGGATAAGAAGGGTCCCTGAAGGAGGTGCAACTCTCTGGGGAATACTAAAGAAGGCAGCCAAACATCAATGCTGGCCTTCATTCAAACAATCCAGAACCAACAAACACCCTACTGGCCCGGAGCACCAAGCTCCCCATCAGACTGGAGTTAGGACACCTGCAGAAAAGAAGACTGATATTGAGGATGTAATTCAGGGAGAAGTGGAGAAAAGTCCCCCTAATGAGCCATCCACACAAAAATCATTGATGAATGGTGGAACATGAATTAATGAAATCATCTAGGTGTGAGTAGCTTATATTACCGGGTTCAGAGAAGGACATTCTGTGTATAACCCATTTCAAGAGAATGTGCAATCTGCAGATAATCTCACCTTAATGCAAACTCTTGATACATGTCAAAAACAAAACCTGCCTTCAAGACAGAAACTCAGTTCCCTTAACCCAGCGATTTGAAAACACCGTACCGTGAACCCTTTTCAAACCGTTAATGAGGTTAAAGTGCTCTGGGACCCTCGTTCCAAGCCTACAGAAATACTGTATTAAGTCATCCGAATATTCCTATCGTTATTTCTAAGAGGGAACAGGTGGAACATTTATTGACTGACTCTAATCTTGATTTTAGATTTTTCTCTGAGAAAATGGCTAAATAAATCTTCTCCTATTTCTGCCTTTAATGTCCCTGGATACTCCATATTCAGGAGGGACAGGGGATAGGGCAGATGGGGTGCTTATTTACATGAAAGATACCATTAAATGCAATTGTATTGAATGGAAACATGCCAATGACAAGTGTCTTGAGAGACCAATGTCAATCCCTGGAGAATTTGTTTTTTTATGTTCTGTTTTCTGGATGCCTGCCTGAAGGGAAAGACTGCATATCACATTTTTCTGTGTTGTTCAGTATTTTGATTGACTATGTCATGTAAATGACTTTATTCTCTCTAATCATCCATTATAGATGGAGACAATCCTGATACAAACCATGGTGACACTAGTTTGAACTGGATAATCATTGGTGAGTGTTTACGCAAATCTATCACCACAGCTTCCTCTGTATGAGCAAATTACAAGTAAATCTGACCACAAAATGATGCTACAAAGATCAACTACTGTTAGAAAGCTATTTTAAAACCTTTTCATGTTTGTGTAAATATGATGTCAACATCTGATGACTACGTTTTGTTTTTCAGTTGTCGTGGTGGTCATTGCTGGTCTGCTCTTAGTGCTTTTATGTGTGCATAAACCTTGGAGAGACAAACAGCGGTGAGTACCCTATATAACTGCTTTTGTGTTTGTGAAGGGAGCTCTTTAAGTCAATTAGAATTGTTGCAGAGGGTATGTGTTAGTTATGAGGCTAGTTCTCTCTGTCTTACTTTTAGTGTTTAAAGTCAGACCAATGGGGTCCTAGCAGGTAACAAACAGGATTAGAACAGCCTGGAACTTGCAGGCCACTTACAGACTATAGACTTGTCTTCCATTTTGTCAAGTTACTGTTGTTTATCAAACATTATCCTTCATTTCTTATTAATGTAATAATCTCATCTTTAGCATCCAAGGCCACAGAGATGGCTCTCCAACCCTGTTCCTGGAGAGCTACTGTCCTGTAGGTTTTCACTCCAACCCTAATCTAGCACACCTGATTCTAATAATTAGCTCAGGGATGGGCAACTGGCGGCCCGTGGATCCAGCTTTTTACTGTTGAGAGCTAGAATAGTAGAATACACAAGGTGTAATTTCAAAATGTGGTTGTGCATCAGCTTTCAATTGACCCGTGTCAGCTAACAATTTTTTTGATTGGTAAATGAATCTAACCAGCGACCTAAACGTTCATTGTAAATTGCTGACTGGGGGGCCCCATTGATTTTGTAAGTTACTCTCACATAGATATCATATTGACATGCAAAAAAAATTCTCCACCCTATGACAAAATGTGTAGAATTTGCAGGAAATTAGCTGTAAAACTACACATTTTTCTCTCCGCCCAATGGCAAAATGTGTAGAATTGCAGCAAACTTTCTTCAAAACTGCAACATTTTCTCTACTCCCCATGGCAAAATGTTGCTTAAGGCCGGGTCTGAATGCATGTGTGGGTATGAATGTGGGTACGCAGACCAACAAGCCACTGCGGCTCCTCATAATGAGTTCCGATTTTTGTGGCACCCACCCCCATCAAAGTTGCTCATCCCTGAAAGCTGGTTAATAAGCTGCATCAGGTTAGTTACAACTGGGGTTGAAGAGAGAACCTACAGGAGGGTAGCTCTCCTGGAACAGGGTTGGAAAGCCCTGCTATAGAAGGCGAAGGAAGAATTACTCAATAGGTCCGCATGGCATTTCTTAATACAGGTAATGTTAATTGGCAAGCAACAGCTTTCAGCAAAGACCCTGCCTTTTAGAGCCCTGTCCAGGCAGAACATAACGTATTCAAGCCAGAAGGGCAACTGGTGTATTGTTGACTGTGGTGTTATGTATTTGTAGATGTTTCCAGTTCTACCTGTGGGTATCTGACTGAACCTTTGGTATATGTTTCATCACAGAGACATCAGAAAGCCTGATGAAGGTGAGACTGTTGAAGCAGTGGTTGTTCCCAGGTTAGTTAGAATACCTCTATTACATATTTAAACTCTACTCCATCCTGGATCAGTTTGCCTTGCTTATCCTTTCAGTCATGGTCATCAAAAGCTTATCACTGTCATAATCTCACTTTTAGTGACCAAGGAGGTGAGCCAGGAGAGGAGAGCAGGCAGCCGATGGACAATGAAGAGACAGGTGCTGACACCCCTCTGCTGAATGGAGATGCCAGGTAAACTTTAACACATGAGTAATCACCTGTCAGTCCTCTGTAATGTAGGCTATGGACATGGAGAACATTTGTATCCTTCCTAATCAAAATCCTTATCAATGTAATAATCTCCCCTTTAACGATCAAGGAGAGGAAGGCGTACTAGGAGTGGAGGACGGAAAGCCTTCAGACAATGACCGAGCAGACACTGAATCCTGTGAGAAGATACATGTTAATTCCCCTCCACCTAATGTCCCCAAGGTTGTCAGGTAAATTCTCCACACGAGAACTCCTTTAATAGATCCTCATTATCCATTGAATGACAATCTAATTTCTCCCTTCAGAATTGATCCCATGGATCATGTTAGTCTCTGCCTCTATGGAGGACAGTGTTGTTTGTGGTGGATCAAAAGTGTTAACCCTGATGATCACCCTGGTATTGCTCCCACAGGGTTAACGGCCAGACTGATGACGCACAGCTTCTGGGTCAACCTCAGAGCAATGGACGCGTGCCATATATTTTGTCTGTGTTTAAAGTTGCATGGTTAAATAACTGTTTGAGGTCATGTTTCCTGATCCAGTCTGTATCTTACTCCACAGGGAATCACACCTGACCGATGGGGCTCCAGGTCAGGGTGCTGGTGAGACTTCACCCCTCCTCTGCAGGTGAGTCACTCCTCTGTAATTTAGGCCATGAACATGTAGACCATGTGTACCCCCCTAAAACAGATCCTTAAATTCTTATCCATGTAATAATCACCCTTAGAAGCCCAGTAGAGGAAGGTGTGCTAGAAGGGGAGGACAGGAAGCCCACAGACAGTGGGGGAACATACCCTGAATCCTGTCAGAAGACACATGCTGAACCCCCTGACATCAGGTAAACTTCACTACATATTGATACATCCTCACCAACCCCATCGTCACTTGGTTCATGTTAGCCTCTGTCTCTATAGGGGACAGTGTTTTGGTGGATCATGAATGTGAATGTTGATGTCTTATTTCTTCAACAGGGTTATCGACAAGACTAAGGAACCGACTCCTGATGCACAGAGTCCAGGACCTCCTCAGATGAATGGACGACCTCCCATGTTTAACAGAGTTGCAAAGGAGACCACTGGTCTATTGGACAAACAGGCCTTGGACAAGGACCAAGTCAGCAAACCTGAGTTAATAGTAAGTACTGTTTATGCCAACTGGTGAATTGTTTGTCTTGGTATCTAAAATGACGGGGCTGGTTGTCTTTTTGCTCCAGCATATTTGTAACTCTGTAACTGTTTTTCCCAAGGACAAAGGACCTAATGACATGGAGTCAAGAAGAGGAGAACTGTAACAAGCGGTGGACGTTTGTATAACAAAAGAAAACCTAATAAGATATGATAAGATACAGTAATATATGATATACAGTGCATATTATAAGATACACATGTGTGACTAGCTTCATCATAATCAGTCATATCAACCCCAAGACACATTCTGAACAGTGTGTTTTAATGAACAGTGATTTTCAGAAACCTCAACAGTTTATTAAGTTAATTCTCTATGCGACAGCTGTAATCTCTATATGTTAGGAAACGTGTTCTAGTGAAATCAGTTGAAATTAAAAACAGCCCAATAATTTTAGATAACTTATCTAAATTATTATGATCTAAATTATTATTATCTAAATGTTTAATTACTATTATATGAAAATGAGTGAGTGCGACTAATGACTGTCACATATTAGCTATACAACATAATATATCAAATGATATGAAAGTATGGTAAGATCATACAGTACTTACTAGTACTTACTAGTATGTTATACTATACATACAAGCAATTATATGTAACATACACATGAAAAGATTATTAAAACGTGAACCTCTCTAGTATAGAAATTTCCAAGGTCATGAGGTCTCAATGTCTTGTGGACATGTCAAATAGCTAAACATTGACTAGGTGAAATTTAGAGTAGGCCTAATTCTCACAGAGCCCAGTCTCAGATGCTCTATTTTACTGAAGCAATTATTCAATATTTCTGAATTGAGAGTTAGCATGTCAGTGTTAAAATAACTTGCATAATTTGTCCCAATTCAGCAATATTTTCACAGACATTTAACACACACCTGTAATCCTACTTTCAGTAAAGAAAGTTAATGCTCCATTTTAGACTCTAGATTATATTACATCAGACTTTATTTAAACCACTATTTTCATAGGAAATCATGATTGGTCAGTTCAAACAGGGAACACTTCATATGGATGTTCTCTTTATAATGCATTAGAGGTGCATTAATAACACCTTCTATGCATAATGCATCATAATGCACAACATAGGTGCTTGTAACTGCTCATGAACATCTATAACTGCATAAAGCATTATCACCAGGATGTGTAATGCCTTATGAAGCAAAGTATTACTATGCCAGATGCCATATTTGAAAAGCACATTAGGAGCATTATATTATACATTCTGTGCTCATTAAGTGGTAGGCTATATTCTAATTTCACTGCACACCATCTTACACCTATGTACTCTGTCTTGCAGGCATAAAGGGATAATTCACCTATATTGCAAAATTACAAAATTACATACCCTGTAAGCAGTCTATGGACAAGGTAAGAAAGCAATCAATGCTTTGGTTTTGTTTACTCTACTTGGTCACAGAAATGCTAACGTTGTAGCATTTGTGGCACAAATCCAAGTCAATAACCCTGATATAAGCTTTTTTGCATTTAATGTCCATATCATCCTAAAGCAGGGATCATCAACTATATTCAGCCGCGGGCCGATTTCTTCTTGAGTGGATGGTAAGGGGGCCAGAACCTAATTATAAATAATTAGTAGACTGCAATTGAACCGCAAGAAACCCAAACAGATATAATATTTGCTTAAAACATTATAATTTTAAACCTTGCTTACATTTGCATATGATCACATACAGTGGGGAAAAAAGTATTTAGTCAGCCACCAATTGTGCAAGTTCTCCCACTTAAAAAGATGAGAGAGGCCTGTAATTTTCATCATAGGTACACGTCAACTATGACAGACAAATTGAAAAAAAATAATCCAGAAAATCACATTGCAGGATTTTTAATGAATTTATTTGCAAATTATGGTGGAAAATAAGTATTTGGTCACCTACAAACAAGCAAGATGTCTGGCTCTCACAGACCTGTAACTTCTTCTTTAAGAGGCTCCTCTGTCCTCCACTCGTTACCTGTATTAATGGCACTTGTTTGAACTTGTTAACAGTATAAAAGACAGCTGTCCACAACCTCAAACAGTCAAACTCCAAACTCCACTATGGCCAAGACCAAAGAGCTGTCAAAGGACACCAGAAACAAAATTGTAGACCTGCACCAGGCTGGGAAGACTGAATCTGCAAAAGGTAAGCAGCTTGGTTTGAAGAAATCAACTGTGGGAGCAATTATTAGGAAATGGAAGACATACAAGACCACTGATAATCTCCCTTGATCTGGGGCTCCACGCAAGATCTCACCCCGTGGGGTCAAAATGATCACAAGAACGGTGAGCAAAAATCCCAGAACCACACGGGGGGACCTAGTGAATGACCTGCAGAGAGCTGGGACCAAAGTAACAAAGCCTACCATCAGTAACACCCAAGCCGCCAGGGACTCAAATCCTGCAGTGCCAGACGTGTTCCCCTGCTTAAGCCAGTACATGTCCAGGCCCGTCTGAAGTTTGCTAGAGTGCATTTGGATGATCCAGAAGAGGATTGGGAGAATGTCATATGGTCAGATGAAACCAAAATAGAACTTTTTGGTAAAAACTCAACTCGTCGTGTTTGGAGGACAAAGAATGCTGAGTTGAATCCATAGAACACCATACCTACTGTGAAGCATGGGGGTGGAAACATGTTTTTCTGCAAAGGGACCAGGACGACTGATCCGTGTAAAGGAAAGAATGAATGGGGCCATGTATCGTGAGATTTTGAGTGAAAACCTCCTTCCATCAGCAAGGGCATTGAAGATGAAACGTGGCTGGGTCTTTCACCATGACAATGATCCCAAACACACCGCCCGGGCAACGAAGGAGTGGCTTCGTAAGAAGCATTTCAAGGTCCTGGAGTGGCCTAGCCAGTCTCCAGATCTCAACTCCATAGAAAATCTTTGGAGGGAGTTGAAGGTCCGTGTTGCCCAGCGACAGCCCCAAAACATCACTGCTCTAGAGGAGATCTGCATGGAGGAATGGGCCAAAATACCAGCAACAGTGTGTGAAAACCTTGTGAAGACTTACAGAAAACGTTTGACCTGTGTCATTGCCAACAAAGGGTATATAACAAAGTATTGAGAAACTTTTGTGATTGACCAAATACTTATTTTCCACCATAATTTGCAAATAAATTCATTACAAATCCTACAATGTGATTTTCTGGATTTTTTTTTCTCATTTTGTCTGTCATAGTTGACGTGTACCTATGATGAAAATTACAGGCCTCTCTCATCTTTTTAAGTGGGAGAACTTGCACAATTGGTGGCTGACTAAATACTTTTTTCCCCCACTGTATATCTCTATATTATGTGTGGGAATACTTTGGAACAGATTTTCTAAATTAAAATCACATGGAGCTGGTGTTTTTACAGTCTTTTATGGCCCCCCCAAACGTGGACTCAGGGGTAGTAACATAGTAAAAAAACGTCCGGGATACTCCAGTTAGTATGATACTGTTTGTTACGTTTCGTATGGTATGTATTAATTCGTGGATGTCCATCATCCATTTCATATTATATGTTACAAATAAAAATGTGTATGATATGTTTTGAATTGCAATTCTTACAATATGATAAGAATTGCAATTTGTACAATATGTTATGAATTTGCTAAAAGTTTGATATGTTACAAATTCAAATTTCTTGTGGGTAAGGTTAGCTAGGTGGCTAATGTTAGCTAGGCTTAGGGGTTAAGGTTAGGGTTAGGAGTTAGGTTAAAGGATTAAGGTTAGGGGAAGGGTTAGCTAACATGCTAAGTTATTGCAAAGTTGCTAATTAGCGAAA